ATGCTGTAAATGCGGATGCTGCTCCCCTGTGATCGTCAAAGGACAAGTATAAACCTGGTCAGATGATTTATTAACAGAGACCAATCTAATAGCTAGCCGGATGCCTTCAATTTCGCTACGACATATTCAAGGGTACAAAGAATGTAAGGTCAGCGTAAACTCTGGAGTATCGAGGATGGCATAGGAACAGCTGTATATCTAATAGAGAGTGTCTAAAATCACCCGGAATACAGTCCATCTAGACTTACCGAATGGCAAAGCGTTAACTGTTTTTCGTTCGTCTGTAAACAACTAATTTTACAGAATAATGCACGATTCACTCTGCACATTTTGCAAAAAGATCATGTTTGATGAAGGATCACAAATATTTAACCAAATAATATGGACACACTTTCAAAGTCACATTAATAAGATCTGTTAAAACGTCAAACCACACCTCCAACTTTAAAATGTGGAAAGACTTCAAGAATACGACAGCGTTAACAAAACCTTGTTCAAATGATTTCAATGAACCATGGTAAAATACAAAGAATGAATAAGGGAGAATAGGAAATTGCGGTGGTAGGAAGCTATATAACTTTGATCTAGGTCACAGCTCAGATATGTTAAGCAAAAAGAATAAGAAACATGATATGAATCACGTAAGCGAGCTTTGAAAGTTACAGGAAGAAGATATTTCCAAATGTAATTTAATTTCCGTTAGGGATTAATGTCTTCCCTTATGTTTGTTTGGTTGTGATCGGTTTAATGTCCTCGCAACGATTAAGGTCATTTAAAGATTGTTACCCCGGATATACAACCTAAAGGAAAGAGAAAGAAAGAGAGAAAAAAAAGAAAGGTTGATAGCATGAGGGGTCAAATACTGAGCAAACGAATCGCTTGGGTTTATTTCAATCTTACAAAGGTGTAGAGTGTTTTAACTCATGAGAGGAAAATAAACGTGTAATAATGGCTCATGAGTCTACTGTAATGCTAGAGATAGGAGTAACTTTAATTTTATTTTACTTCTTGCGTCCATAGACTTCACGAAAGTATGGACCAGTGGGTTTGAAAACACCAAAAGTGGTACATGGAAATGGATGACTTCCGGTTCCCGAATAAAGTACACCAACTGGCCACGTGGACAGCCGGATAATCCAGGGTGGCCGCCGGGCGTCCCCTACTGCCTGTGTCTATGGTATAAGAATCATTTTCGTTGGGATGATCAGACATGCAGGTCTACAGGTTACCCTGTGTGTGAGAAATCCAAAAAAAAATAAACTAATCCACATCGTGAAGAATAATGAAAATATTTTGTATAAATCAGATTTCTTGAAATTTTACCAATGGCATATCAAAACATTTCGAAAGCACAGTACAGTTACAAAAAGATGAGTCGCCTTGAGGAATATGTAATCATAGACAACATACAATAATAAATAAATAGCATTATTTTAGTGTTTTTGTTTGTTTGTTGTTGTTGTATTGTTTTATCCTCTCCACCCGCGGAATATGTCGTGACAAAATCGAGGTATCGGTGTGTACTAGGTTGTGGATTAGACGAGAAAACTCTTTAATGTCTTTAATATCTTTTAATATGATCCTCTATTGTCATACTGCAAAGAAAAATGTCGCACGGTGATTGGTCGAATTGCCAAGGTACCTGAAGCTATGTTAGTATCCTTGCCGGGGTACATAAGAGCACGCACGCCTATTGTAAGGGAGATAACTCGAAGATTCGAATCGAACACACCGGAGAACGTTCGACCGTAAATGTCAACAATCAACAATATGGCGAAACGGTTTGCAAGTCACACGGAGAGTACAATTGAGACAAAACGGGCTACACTTATACGTACAAACACAAAGAGAAGTAACAATTCAGCAAGCAAAACCTTCAGAGCATACTAAAGAGAAAAGGAGCAAGACATTGTGATCAGAAAGTGAAAAATGAAGAAAAAAATCAACCGTTACGAGTTGTTAAGGAACTGAGTTGTTATGTAATGTTGTTTCAAAACCATATTGTTGACTTATTATCATATAAAAATTCATTAAATTGTTGGAATTATACAAAAAATGTTTTTTTCTGTTTTCCCGTACTACCGCCCTACACAGTATCTGTTTTCTGGCAAACACGAGTCCCAACCCATAAATGGCTTCGCAGTATGACAAATTCGTTATACAGGTCTTTGGCAGGGTACATGGTCTCATGTTCGCTGTCAGGACCTTATGTACCCTGAGCCGAAGGCCCCCTGCCAAAGAACTGTATAACTAATAATGTACATCAGCGTAGCGTTACTGTAAAAATGACATGCTGTAAATTCGGATGCCGCTCCCCTGTGATCGTCAAAGGACAAGTATAAACCTGGTCAAATGATTTTTTAACAGAGATCAATCTAATAGCTAGCCTGATGCCTTCAATTTCGCTACGACATATCCAAGGGTACAAAGAGCGTAGGTGAGCGTAACCTCTGGAATATCGAGGATGGCATAGGAACAGCTGTATATCTATATAGAGAATGTCATTGAAATAACAGGTGAAATAGCTGAGCAGGTTGGCATTCATGAGATATATAAATGCAATCGCCTGATATGGATATAACTCGTGGAAAACAGGGCGATAGTTCAGTTTGTCTATCTACTCGCATATCCACCAAGCGTCACTTTGTTCATAGCATATCATTACTTATTTTTGTAATAAATTCGAATGTAAAGATTTAATTTTCTGATATATTTCACCATGTAACAGTTTTTATCTTGCTGATTTTTATTTAATTAAGAAGATGTGATGGAGTGCAATACAAAAGAAAAGTAAGTTAAATTATAGTGCGACACACTCATACGTAATGCGTTATTTGGGTGGTCTTTGACCAAGACATTCAGGGTTCGATTCCCCGGTCGGACACAGAAATGTATTAAGTTAACTCTCCGACCGGGTACTCCGGTTTTCTTTCACATAGAGACCCTCTGCGCGCTTCCATGCCGGTCAGCAAAGGTGATTACTATCCGATATTATTACATATTTCATAATTGTTGTAAAATAAACCAACTATGTATTTTATGTGAATAATAGCTTGATTAGAAGTCATTAAACCATCGACGACTTGGCGACTAGACAATTTCTTCCGGATATTATACCGGATAGTCTTTTCTTTCATAGCTGATTAGTTCCTTTATTAAAGTTATACTTTTACTACAGCAGTATATTTTCATAGTGCATATAAACAAATTATCATAGAATAAAACACCGCGCATACTCTAAACAATATTTTGAAAGATTTGAATACATGGATTTCTTCGGTATATAGATAAACACATATCTGTGCCACAAAAGTCAACTTTCAACGCCCATATCCGAGAGCCAATAATAGATTTCCTAAATTTGAATATAGAATGAATACCTTAAGCCCTGGGAATCTGACAAAGCTGGAATCGCATGGCCATGTAAGAGGACAACCGTCTGATTTGAAGTTACTAATCAATATGTAGTCGGGAAATGGTCATAGGAAAATTGTTATCAACACTTTTGATATGAACCCTGTATTATGAATAATAACAAACGTGTTTATTATTTTGTTTGTATTGGGAGCTAGATTTTGTTTTCTCTCTTAACAGATGTCATATGACATAATACGAGGAACATTGAGTCACTGAATGCCATATGGAGTATTTGACTTACATAGGAGAATATTATTTACCTGAAGGCTTATCGTAACCGATGTTATTGATAGGAAAGTATACCTTTGATGTACGATCTTAACACGACAGCGTATTTTAATCAACGTTATTTAGCGTTCAGCGTACATAAGAAGACGTTATTTATCACATTGATGATTGTCAGGCCATTCAATAAAAGTATGGCTTAACGAAACAACAAACGATTTCGTTTTCAAACAGGATTTTAAACCTTCCCATTAGTAAAGTAACTGCTAAAAATAAGAAGAAAGTAAGTGCATATTTGAAAAGTTTGTTGAAGATGCAGACAGAAAAATTAGGTGAACATTTGTCGTCCAGTTATGACTCATCACCAGTATTTATGTTCAACTGCATATGAAAATGAGTTCTGACCTAACAAGAATTATAGAAAAAACATGCCACACAAATTGATTATGCATAGAATTATTTTTAAGAAGTATTATTTGATGTAAAGATTTCTCAAATTTCAATAAGTGACCATTTTTTTCAATTTGCGTTAGGGTTTGGGGGAATCCTAAACCTTAAACAAAATATGTTAAGAATGAAAAAAACATCACTTCTACGTGCATATGTTTTAATAGATTTGATAGATCCGAATGTTTTGAAAGACCTATACTATTCAGATTTCAAAAATGAAGAAAAAATGAATAGCGTTAATTTTGCAACGGTATATTTTAATGAAAGAATTTACGGGAATCATGTCCGAAAATGCACATTTAAAACTAAAGCAAATTAAGCGAAATAAACAGCTATAATGTTAAATTAAGATATCAAAGTGCCAGGAAGGGGAGGAATTGCCTTCATAAACAAAAAATAGGAAACAATATTTATTAACAAAATATTCCAGTAATACTGCAATGATAAAGGTCAAGGTATTAATGACGTTTTATACTCTGATGATACCTCATTGATTTTAGATGACGATTTTGAATATTGCTCATGAAACACCGCAACAACAGTTTTGAAAGCAGTAGGCACTGTACATTTACATATGTTAGTGGTGTTCCTAATTTTAGCGCCTTCGCGCTTTAAGTGTTGGTTTTAATTATGATTTAACAAGTGATTTTTTTAGATGCGCCTATTCATTAAAGCGCTTATTTGTTAAATTGTGATAATACGCTTAAATTTTAGCCCGCTAAGATAAATATATTACCTTTTATGGGTCGGATGGGATGTGCAGTGTATATATATCCGGATAGGTATATTAATAAAGTGTTTCTTGTTAGGTAAACACTCCAAAATACGTACAGTGTCAATGTCCAATGTGAACAATCATAACAACCGATAACGCTCGACCATCTATACAACGTAAGCATTTAGCCTTGGACACGAGATCGCTATGGCACGGAACTTCGATGTTTACGATTGGATCGTTTTCGTTGTGATACTTCTGGTGTCTGTTGGAATTGGTATTTACCATGCCCTGGCAGGCGGTAGACAGAGAACTACCGGAGAGTTCCTGATGGGAAACAGGAAAATGAGTCTGATACCGACGGCCCTGTCCATCCTTGTCTCGTTCCAGTCCGCCATATTGATTTTAGGTGCCCCGGCTGAGATGTACACCAAGGGGACCCAGTACTACTTGTATACATTTGGACAGATGCTTGCGGTGTTGCTGGCATCTGTTGTTTACGTTCCGCTGTTCTATCCACTAAGGTTGACCAGTATGTACGAGGTAAAATATAATCATAACTGTTTTTATATATTTAACATTCAGAGTAATCCCCATTCGGGCCTTTCTACTGTAGCTACTCTACTGAGGAAAAATGATGCATAAATTGAATCGCCCACATATTGCTTGAGGTCGAAGCAAAGCAACTACAGGGGTCCCATATGTTTGAAAGCTATATATTATATTCTAGTATTTCCATATACAGGTATAAAAAATCCCGATCAAGGGGCCAAGCAGTATTACTGAAATACGGGGACAGGTAAATCAAATTTACTGTGGATAGCGTACGTGACTTTCACCAAGGCGGCCGGGGTTCGATTCCCCGATCGGACGTGAAAAGGTTGGGGTCACCTACCCGATCACGTGTGTTTTCTCCGGGTACTCCGGTTTCCTCCCACATTATGACCCCACCTCACGCGCTAACATCCGGGTCAACAAGAATGATTAATATAAGTTGAAATAGCTTGTTTCATAATAGTTGTTTAATAAATAAAGTTTATATTTTAAATATACTGTACCATTTTATTACTTGCTTACGTTCTCATTCTGGCAAACCTACACAAGGCCTTAAGCATGGAACTGTTTTTAGATGCCATTTATAGGAAATGTGAATGCTAAGTTGAAACTAAATGTTCAAATTCCATGAAGCAGTCTTCTCCTAAGATCCTTCATTTGAATCAAAAACAGGAATATAGCTTTTTGTTCAAGCACTGATCTAACGATTGCTCATATGGACTTTGTCACTAGCCTAGTCGTATCACCAAGCCAGATGGTTGAACTCTATAAAAATATATTTATTTCTGTTGCAGTACCTTGAACTCCGGTTTAACTCTCGAGCTGCGAAACTGACAGGAACTATCATCAACATCATCTCCACAGTAAGCCATGGCCTTTGTATGTCTTCAATTCTTCATTAATCCCTGATTGGTTTTCAAGGGTTTGAAATTTAACCTTTTTATACAACTTTTTTATTTATGTATTAACACGCTTATAGGTGGTACAATACAATCGCACGTAAATTTATCTTATATTATTGTTCACTTGGCTCAAACTTTGTGTTTGTGACCTTTTGATATCAAGTGTTGTAAGCCCTCTGTCTGCCATTCAATTCAACATTTCCCTTTAACGACTCCTGAAAACTGCAAAATTCTGGGGCTATGCATTATAGTCAGTAGCTACCCGGGATTGAGTGTTGTTAATCAGGCAAATGCTTTGGATGGTGGATGAAGACAATTCTCTAAAAGACAATGTTCCGATTGGGGAAACTAAAAAATCAGTTAATTTGCTGGTATATCGTGTACATGATTTTTTTTAATAACGAAAATTGATCCATAAAGTTGGAGGAATTTTTGGCCTCAACCGAAAGTGGTCCCTTCCTTGCATAATAATATACGGTTCCTTAAAATAAGTCGAAAAATCCTAAAAGCAATCAAATTCAAAGTAAAGATATTTGGCTTGATTCACACGTACACTTTGTTTGTCTGTATGAATTACGTTGACCTACTTTCCTTGTCAAAGATGTGAATTGTGTGAAAGAACAAACTGAAAACAACATGTACTAAAAGTCCTTAAACCTTTATTTTAACATGTAAGGCTTTTTTTTTTTTTTTTTTGTTTTGCTGGGATTTCACATTTTCTTATCTGTTTAAAGATATTACCATGACTTCAAACTCCAATAAGAAAGCATAAAGTACCGTTAACGTACATATTTTATTAAATTATGAATATGAAGTTCTTCTTGTATATTGTTCTCTTTTTTATATTTATGGATGCGTTCGTTCATCAATGCATTAAAAGTGGATAATGCATTAACTTCGAGTGCGCTAAAATAAGTACGTTTAAAGTATAATCTCCAAACCAAGACCAGTCAGATTGATAGTACATGTACTTAGTAGATATCGTAAGCCTGCTTGATATCACCTTTATTATAAAATCTAACCTTGCTGAACTTCAAAGGTCACCGATGAATTATTTGTTTTCGAACATTGAATAATAGGTGAGCTTCGCATGCATATTGTACTTTTTGTCGTTTTAATTTTTATATTTCTACAGTTAATATATTCAGGACTTGCATCATTCGCACCTTCAACGGCCCTTCAAGCGAGTAAGTAGAAGTCAATTTGATCTCGTTTCAATATATATATGGGAAACAGAATTTAGTTTAGTCTTGAATATTTTGTAGTTTATGACATAGTTTATAGACGCTTTAACCGATGGGCATGTTATGTTGAAGTATTGCTTGATACTGGCGACATGTTTTTGGATCTATACCATTTTCCATTTTCTGTCTTTTTGTCTGTATTGCGATTATTTTGTGTTTCATATCACGGTACAAATTACCAAGATGATAAACATGGAAGTTTAAGCTAAATGATTGTTCATTGAGATTGAACATTACGGTTTACAATGAAAGTGTGTTTTTAAGTTAATCATTATATTTTTGTCTTGATTTAAGTGACTGGTTTCCCGGAGTGGGCGTCCTTCATCATCCTCGGTGTTGTGTGTACCCTGTACACTTTCCTGGTAAGGTGTGTGTGTTCACCCATAGGCCTAGGTTTCACATATCCTAATTTTTGCCATGGAATTTTTCATTTTCAAAATTTTTGAGTTAGTATTTAAGTTGTGAAGAGTCAAAGATTGAAAACAAAAAATATGACTTTGGTTTATTTTACAGAAAATCCAAAACAAGAACCAGTACCAAAAACTTATAAAATAATTGAATAAGATAGGAGCCATTCTTCATGTTCTGCTATTTCAATTTAAAAAATATAATAGACGTAGACATAAAGTAAGTATTTCATGTAATCTATGTCAATGTTTACCCCCTAAAATATGTCTATGTTGCTTTTAAATGATTCTCTGGCACGCTAAAAGCAATTATCTATGACCATTTGCCTCAATATGAAACAATTACGAACGATTTACATATATATATTGTCGTACTACAAGAATGTTGTGAATATTGTTATAAAACATATCACATTGAAGTATTCACTGAATACTGTATATCAGAAATCTTCTGCCCTGTTATATATTCACCATTCACTGTGAACATCAGTATTAACCGTGTGTTAATTTTACATTTATGCAATTTATATTATATGCCTTATTTAATATTCGCTGTCATGACAATTTTGCCGTCATTAAGAAGGACAAAAGGGAGAAAGTTAATCAGTGACAACTATTTCCCGTATTAGGTATTCACATTATAGATAATACATGTCCTACATTGATGTGTGTATCTACAGGGGGGACTCAAGGCTGTGATATGGGTGGACGCGTTCCAGTTTCTGATCATGATGACCGGGATACTAGCAATCCTTATCAAGGTAGGATCCCGATGTTCGTCTTTCTGTTTCTATTTTAATTAAGAACTTGTGCAAGTCGAAAAATATATGTAAGTAAATGAAATAGTTTTCCTGTATTTTTCGCTCCGATACGTCAGGTAGCTACAGAAACTATTTGAATGTCTCGTTGATTAAGATATTAGCTTTTTCCTTCTGGCTCTGGGAGGGAATACTTTTCTTTAGCACATTCAGTGGAGAGTCAGACTAGCTGTCACAGGTTCGACCCCTCGCGGAGGCATTGCAAAATTATTATGACCTCCATAACGTTGACTTAATGTCTCCCAACAATAGAAATCTTATTTTCACATATAAAACATCTTACAAAACAAATAGTGAGACTACTAGACATTTTAATGGAAAAGCAATAATTACAATTTTTGGGTTTTGGAACATTTTCATTTCTTCAGACGGTCGTATTGATGCACTATGCATTTATTTTTGATTTTTAAATTTCAAATCAAAACATATGAATAGATTTAACAAATATTTCGTTATAAAGGCTTAAGGCTTCCCGTATCCGTTTTCGTTCAATTGATATCATGTTCAAAAACGGATATGTGATTAGGCCAAATGCTTTTTTTGGTGATAAAAATTGTCATTGATTCGAAAGGGTTGTGCTTGAGCATGAAACGGTTTCATAAATATTTGACAGTAAGCACCACGTCTCCAGTGTGGACAGAGAGCTGTTAAGATTTAGAGGAGAATCATTGATCCTTGAGATGGAGGGATAATCTGTGTGACTGATTATTCTTTTTCTCCACCAGGGGGTGCTGGAGGTTGGAGGGTTCGGTGAGGTGTGGAGACTGAATAAGGAATGGGACAGAGTTAACTTTTGGAAGTGGGTACTAAGTAAAACGACGATGAAATGTGATACAAATTAGTTATAAGTCAAGTTTGTTTAAATCAAAAGGTCAAGTTATCTCAAAATCTTACAGGTCAATTTAAGCTTTTTAGAAATATTGGTTTTCTCAATATAATGTATGAGGCATCACCATTCATATCTCAGTTGTTTCCTCGGTTCAAGGTCAATTATAACGAAACTCATTATATAGGTGAACGTCATGAGACTATTTACATTTATGATATTGTGACTGATTATTTCCAGTTTTGACCCTGATCCTACAGTTCGTCATACCTTCTGGGGCCTCATTGTGGGGTCGACGTTGAATTGGGTAGGGTCGTACGGAGCAAGCCAGTCCAGCATTCAACGCTACAGTGCTCTCAGAAGTCTTAAAGAGGCCAAAATGTATGTCGAGCGATGTTTCTGTTCCACTTTGTTGTGTCTATTTACAATAACTTTCCTTTGTCACCACGAAATGTAAATCCTCTGTAAATGCGTATTAAATGTGACATTAATTCAACAAGGATAAATTTCCCATGCATGTTTCCCGGAGATCTAATTGTTACCATTAATGTGTTTGATACTGATATTATTTTTGTCTTCATACAACCAACTTTCATAACTTTAGAATACATATTTATAACAATCAACCATTGTTTGTATACCTATATAACAAGATTGAAATCCTCAAAATTAATGATATGTATGTATACAAGCAGGACGCTTACCTCTAAATGCAAAATTGATGTCAAACATGGGACACAAATAATGAAAAAGAAAAGGGAGCGGTTGGTCTCCAGAAAGATAATGTTAATAATTAATCAAGAAAGGTATGTCATTTTTCTCGCGCCAGCCACTAAGAAATTCTGTGGATGGATATATGATTGAAAAGGCAAACAAGATTTATCAGGAAAGGTTGATATGTCTGTAGACAAAATTGCTGAACTAGATCTTCTACGATTGTCTACAACGCGTGTCTGTAGATATGGTAGATATGGATACATCGCAGTGGATCGAGGCTGACAAAGCAGTTCTAGCTTTGAGGCAACATTTGAGACTTAAACATCAGACAAGAATATTGCGAAACGTTTGAAGCACCCTGTCGCATTGTTTCCCAATCAACAGAGGGCGTCAAAGAGCGAGTCCATCACATAATAATTTCAATGTTACAGGCCGTGACAAACATATCCGTGTAAAGTTTGTTCCAAGATTGCCATACTGCCCTGAAACCAACTGGTGATGTACAGCCTGTATTGAAGATACTCCATTCGAATGGCCAAAGACATGTCACTGATTCAAAGCGAAGATGAACCTGAATGGAAATGGCATACAGAACAGATGTCACGAACATCACCTCTTATCAAGAAAAGCAACAACTTTTAAAGTTGTCATTCGGCCAACAAATGGCATGTGGCTAAAGAGAATGTAGTGTCAATAAGACTGTCCTAATCTCAAACACGCTGAAGTAGCTGAAACTCAACGCCTACCCTTAGGGTCAGATTACCTAAATTTATATTGTACTTTGTATAGAAAGCAGGTTATAAGTAGTTAGTAGATTTTACCCTCATTACGAAGGTTAAGTAGGGTGGAAGAAATTATGCGGCGATTTTTTATCTGTGCGCACTATTTACTCTACATGAAGTATTTTTTAAATCTGACAGAAATACTTGAAGCTCAAGTATAGCAACAGATTAAGTGTTTTTTTTCTTAATGATAATAATAGAAAAAGGGTCTGCCTATAATGCCTGTATGTTTACCTTTGTCTTTACTAGAGCCATTCTTGTGAATTGTTTTGGCGTGTTTATTCTGTTGACGGGGGCGTGTCTGATGGGTGTTTCTGCGTTCGCATACTATGCCCAGTTGGGATGTGACCCATTGACCAGTGGCATGATAAAGAACAAGAACCAACTCATTCCCCACTTCGTCCTGGACATTCTCAACATACCAGGACTTCCCGGACTATTTGTAGCCTCTTTGTTCAGTGGTTCCCTGAGGTAGGTTGTATACAGGTCATTGTAACTATAGTTTTTGAATGTAAAGAAATCATACACATCTAACGATAGATATTAATGTACCGTTAATCAAGTCTTTAGGAAAAAGGTACGTTCGTTGCAATTATTGGACCTTCTTTTGTTGATCTAAACCGCATTAGTGTGGTGTTCAATCATTTTGTAAAAAATGAAAACATAGGAAAGTACACAAAAACAATACCAGTGCAAGATTAAATCCTTTGTAAACCGTCCACTTGGTCATATATACATATCCTCTTACGGTTTAGACATTGCAACGTACGAGTTTAACGCACGATTATTAACATCGTTAAAAATATGCCGTCTGGCTAATAACGTATTCTTATATAAATCCTTAATCTCAATGATGTCTTTCGAAACACACCGCAAGTAGATAAAATGTTGAAGAGGCCTTAAAGTGTGCTGTGAGTATTAATGAAACATTTAGAAAAATATTGAGAGAGTATCTGATGTGATAGACAGAACGGCAAAACGGAAGAAAAATATTCCTTCTATTCAATTAATTGAGATACAAATATGTGAGCATTTCCATAATACAAGTGTTTACTAGAATAGTCCTGTTTCACATAGCCAAATCTCTGAATCGTCCTTTACCGAATGGTACAGATTCACAAACAAATGGGTTTTTGTTTCATTCAAGTTCCTTGTCGTCCAATCTGAGTTCACTAAGTGCAATCACGTGGGAGGATATTCTCAAACCTCACTTTAATCTTCGGTCAGAGAGAACGAAGGCGTGGATTACACGCAGTATTGGTGAGTGTCATTACCAGAGCGTGCTTAATTAATCCAGTCTCTCTTATCGAAAATGTGTTGTTTTTTATCTATTTGTAAACACAATTTCCGACAGTGTTGATGCAAGCCTAACTTTCCTGATATATATTGGTCGATATGCTGTAGTAATAACTTAAGTCTCTGTCGCTCTTTTCTTGCAGTTTTTATTTACGGAGCCGTAGGAATTGGAGTCACTTTTATAGTCAAAAATCTTAAAGGAACAGTGTTACAGGTAGATATATTCCAGTTATTGAAAAATATCTGAAATATCTAAGGTAGCTTAATTTGAATTTTTATAATGTTTATCCCGGGGCTAGATTGGTTAAGTGAGCATCCCCTAATGTCGATCGTGACCTCGCTTTTTTCATTTATATAGACCGATCGCAGTATGATAAACTGGATACCCTCCTTGGGAATCATCTATAAGCTTACGTTGATGGGGAGGGGGGGGGGGCAAAAGGGGGTTAAAAAGCGGAAGTGCTTCATGATTTGTTGTCGACATCACATGAATATAATGAAGGTAGGCGGTGTATAAAGATGAAATATACGTGGCTTTAAATTTTGATAAATATAATTCATACATGTAGTTGTAACTTCAGTTTCAAGGTCATATTAAGGTAAACAGAAATATTCCCAAATTTCTATCGTCTGTTTGTTCTTTCGATAACAATATTTATTTTGTACAACATGTTAATTACCATCATTACCCAGATACGTTAGCCTGCAATCTATTTGAGAGACTATCTGTCATATATATATGGATGTAGTGTATGCAGTCACATAATTTGGGAGCATGGTAACAGGGTATGAAGTTTATCTGATTATATTGTCAATCTTCCCAATATATTGATTTTACATGGAATGTTGTGCATGCGTCCCTAAGAGTTGCTGACATTGTACATTAGGTTTTGCCATTAGGGTTTGCAGCTGACAGTGTGTAAGCAATTGCAGTTACTTCATTTCAAATAAACATTTTTTTACAACAATAATGCAACAACTTATTTCAAGTTATCTTAATCACTCTTTGTTTGCCTACATGTTAGTGCACATATGTTCTCAATGTGGGAGGAACCCGGATTACCCCGAGAGAAAACCCTCAGTATATATTGGCAAAATAGATAAGAAAACTGGGGTCATCTGTTTATAGCAGTGTAGTGCACACCTACCTCCAAGTACTTAGTAGCGACGTATGCCTCTATGGTAGATAGTAAAAACTCGTATTGCTCTGAATGTTCAAATGTGAAGTTTGCAGTTATCATCAGGACAAGCAAACAATCTCAACAACATGCATTGATTCAGAGAGAGTATTAAATATCCGATTTTCTTTGGGTGTTAACTGTTAGCACGAAATTCTTTTTTCCAATGTCAGGCGTCGCTGAGTTTCATGGGAGCAGCCTCTGGGTCCCTGAATGGAATTGTGATCTTGGGTGCCTTTTTCCCTTGCTGTAACTGGATTGTGAGTATTTTACTGAAAATGTTAGAAAAAAAACACCAAAAAACATGGAAATTGACTACGGTGTTTACGAGTTCTGATCATTTGGTAGACAACGTTTCAGCAGTTGGAGATTCCAGAAAATGTTCGCACCTATATCGTTAATGTTATTTCTATTCCTATTTTCCAGTATTGTAAATCCAACAAGCAAACTGCCATCTCTTTTTTTTTATAAGAGTAAGCATCGCTTATCAAATCATTGCTCTTGTTATCAACAAACTTTCTAAAAAAAAATACCTAAGTGACAACAAGACCGTAACTCGAACTCCCGATCGATAAGACCAGAGCAAAATATAAACAAAGGAAGGTCAGACCTTTCAGAATGTTAAGCGTCTTCTTCCTCATCTATGGTCAAGTCAAAGTAATATTACGTCCTCATGGCAAAACATTATGTAAACAAATAAAAACCATATCAATGAGCAAGTTAAAAATAATTGAACTTTCCAAAACTGGTAGTTATTCTATCCAGTCTCACACATCTAGCCATCTCTATCCTGCTTCGTTAATCCTTCTGCCAGCAAAACATTATTTATTAAGTTGTTTCATTAACAGTTCTCGTTAATTCAGCTACTTATAATCTGGTTGTCTCGCTATCCATCTCACTATCCCACCTCGTCAATCCTGTCATCGTTAATTTTGTTGTCCCAAAATCAAACTCGTCAACACAGTCACTACTTATTTGTTTATCTCAACATCACCGTATTACTCAAACTTCAACATATGCATGATGTACGTGTCCTAAAGGATAACCACATGTACTATCATGACGTCATTGTTGAATGCTTGTCAAGATTTTGTTTTACTATGGCAATCCTCTCATCGGCAACTTACGCCACCTCATGGACATAAGATGCACAAACTTTGCTGGAATGTCTTGTACGGAATACGTCATTTTTTGCTTTTTTCCAAATTGCTTTTTGTTTGTAGTGTACGAAAAACTAGCTTTTAGAAATTAAAGCATTTGGGGTCAAAACCTCTGAAGACCTTCTTTAAGATTTTATGTCTGTTTTAATCGACCCAGTGTCACAATGTCACGAGGACTCGTTGTACAATCGATGCTATTATATGAGCTAAACTACAATTGAAATTTGAGTTGCATTGGGTAACACGGCAGTCACGTGATAATTTTGGAAATTGTTTATCGTGGTGTCCAGGGTGCTGTTGCTGGAAGTCTAGTTTCCTATGCCGTTATGTTATGGATCAACATCGGGAAATATACTGTTATTGGATCCTCGGAAACACTCGAGTTTCCGACATCAAATTGTTCATCTGATACAGACATTTCATTGCTGAACTTAACATCGTTATATTCCCTGCCAACACATTCTCCTGGTACTATACTTGACTATTCAACCATGGCAGAGATACAACTAGCCTACATGAATTCAACAGCTGTATCAGAAATGATAACCGAGAGTCCATCCATGGCAACGTCAGTGTAAGTATTGTATCATTTTCTCTATTTTTTCTTGCTTTTCAACATTATTTTTGGTTTTGGTGCTGCGTCCTCGTTACAGTGAAAGTCATATGACGACGGTTACACAGATAATACTAACTGTATAATTATCACTGTGTAAATACAATGATATTAACATAAATTGAAATGAAAACAAATTCAGAGCCTGTGGAAAAAATGTGCGGCTCTTCACCCTTATGTTAATCTGGTTAAATACATAGTAGGAATCAAAGTGTGTGCCTATTATGGTCGGGAGGCGCTGTGGGTAGCGCAATTGCCTTTCACCAAGGCGGACGGGTTAGATTCCCCGAAAGGACCTGAAAAGGTAGGGGTCACCGACCGCGTGGGTTTTAACCGGGTTCTCTGGTTTCCTCCCACAAAAAGACTCTCCGTGCACTAACATCTGGGCCAACAAGGATGGTTGATATAAGTTAAAATAACTTGTTTTATAACTGTTATAAAACAAAAATATTTTTTTAGTTTATATATATATATATTTGCCTATTAGAATTTCTTGTTGTATAGATTCAATGCTACACTGTACAGAATGTAGCTGACGGAGGAGGTTGAATTATAACGGAGTAGAGCTGTTTGTCATTATTGATCAACGTTACATTGAAGTTTTAGATTCAGGTTGTTAGTTAAGGTCTTTTGGTTGCCTTATAAAACATATTGATGCTATATGTTTGACGTTACAGTAACGCCCTAACCAAGCTATACTCGCTGTCTTACCTGTGGTTTTCCACCTTTGGAACCCTCGTCTGTGTAATCGTCGGACTCATTGTCAGCTTGATTACAGGTAAGAATCCTTGATTATATTTATAAAGATGAGAACAAATAAAAAGCACGTGGGAATCCTTGAGTAAAGGTGAGAACCCTTGATAAAGGGCGATAATTCTTCATTACAAGTGAAAATTCTTATTTTATATCAGAATGATTGATTACAGGTAAGAATTTCTGACTACAGGTGAGAATTATAGGTTATAATTATTTATTACAGGGAAAAATAATATCTAATAGGTGAACATCCGTCTGTGCTCGTACAAATTTTGGAGAAAATCGTTGAAATAATCAATATCAAAATTTTCCATAAATTAATGAAAATAGTACAATGCTTATAGACCCCTTCGCTACAAATTAACGACTTTCGGTTAAATCAGCGTTGTCTAAAGTTTTTATTCACCTGTTGTGTGAAGGCTTGCCTTGTTTTTAAAGAATGTAATCTAATGATTTTGTACTTATCTTATCCTGTTGTATAGATATTACAAATTAATGAATTTGTCATTATTTGAACATGATACCTATACTATTATATCTGTGTTTGAATTTATGTAGCATTTTATCATTACAAATTCAAATCAACTCTTCATTTTTGAAGGAATATATATATACTAAAGTGCGAAATACAACAAGTGTCCCGAACGAGTGGTGGTTGGTTATTATGTTTATCTAGCTCAAAGCCAAAAGTTTAAGTCAACGAAAAAAAAGGATAGACTACTACAGTTTAATCTTTGATGTTTATACTTAAATATTGCATCATTCACACGAGAGATTTCTGTCACTGTTTGGAACCACTTAAAGCCATTGATAGAGCCGAATAAGTGAGTATGTACCAATAACGCACTAAATAACTATTAAAAAATATTCCACCACAATCCCCATTATACCTTTATCTGTTTCCTCTCTCCTAGTATTTACCCAAGTTTTATTGAAGCTGGTGATGCTTTCTTTCAACAGTTGTTGTTGTTGGGGAACTGTCAAATTGTAAATATATCACAATGCAAGATGCAGGTTGTTTATAAAAGTATTTACTGTACATTTTGCTGTCAGAATAAATTAAAAAAACAAGAAAAAAACGAAAACTTGTAATTTGGACTTAATAGGCACAGTGTCATGATAATACTTTTTGTAGTGGTGTCATTATTTGACAATATTGCTTTTATCATATATGTAGCAACTAGCTTTACGCGTCCGTACATTGTATGTAACGGAAATCAGACTTCCGTGTGACATTGTACGTAACGCATTGCGGCGACATTTTTAGGGCGCGCGCGGAAATAGCATGTGGAAATGCAAGTGAGATACTGTGCGGTTGTGTAGTCTCGTTCAACCAGGCCCTTGTTGCCTGCGCAAGCTACGCCGAATAGAGAATCTGGTCAAACCCAGTGCTTTCGTTTTGTGACATCATAACGAGGCTTACCGAGATTCTGGTAAATTGTTTCATTGGTCAAAGGTTGACACACCCTTTTTAACTTTTAAAGTCAGAATTTGAGTGGCCCAAAATTACATTGAATATTTTAATTCATTAAAAAAATACCTGTATGTGCATTCCTGAAGTATCCATGATTTCACTATTAACGAGAAAAATGTAAAAAAAAATGTTTCAAAAGGAATGATTTCATGTATTTTCATTGGATATTTTACAATAATTCATGAAGCTAACAAGGCTATTGATACAAGTCAAGCCAGATAACCTGAGTGAGAACTTGAAGGTGTTTTGAATGGTGTACAGGTAAAATCTCACTTGCTTTGCATGCTTTTTTCAAACTTCAGTCAGCCTTGTTGGCTTTGTGCTTAGTTATGATTTATTTAATGGAAATATATGTCATTATTCTGGAGATTTGACACATTTTCTTACATTGTTCTCGATAAAAGTGAATACACGGGTACTTCAGGAATGCATGTACAGGTAACTTTTTTCATTAATTTCATTATTCATTGAAATGTTTAATGGCGTTGACATAACGTCCCGAAACGAAAGTAGAAATACTGCCCTCTGGTGGTGATAATGTTAATGCACTGTGTTTGACCAGACTCTTGAATTACAAGTGATCAAACGTCTGGTTGAACGAGACTATGCGGTTGTTATGTAACGTGTTGTAAACCTGTTTGTCCAGTATTCCTAGTGTTGAATGTTGGGTATTTTACCTGGCGCACTGGATGACCAGTCGTATATAGTATCACTCGTTGGGGCACAGCTAATTTTTATCTCTCGAATTTAACAAGTGACATAAATATTTGACACTAGAATAGTCATTACTGTCTTAAATATTTGTAAAACATTATCAATCCCATAATGCATCGGAATGTGCCAGGTAGGTGTAAAGGACTCGAACAAGGGGAGCGAACTCGTTATAACTTACTGTAAACGCAAATCTCATACTTCATTTAACTCGGTTTGTTTTTTGTGCTTTATTTACAGTGTACAATATATAGAGTTTACACAACGAGTGGTTGTTAAATATGGTATTTATTACAATCGAGTTAGTTCATTTTCAAAAGTTACAAAGGACACGAACTTTTAAAGTCTTAAAATTACGAGAGTATCATCTGCTTGTTATATTGCCTTAATCACCCTCTTTCCCCATCGCATAACCTCACTAAATCACCAACATTTGCCTGTAATCCGTCTGCAGAGGACGTAAACAAAACAGCACGTGGCCTTAAGCGCGTGAAAAAAGTAGTCACGGTCAAAGTTCATCTCCTCGACCAGTCAACACTCTGAACGGACATATGTAATAGTCGTCTTTACTCTCGATATACGATAACTCCTGGGTTCTCTGTTTACTAGAAATGACTCTCTCTCTCTCTCTCTCTCTCTCTCTCTCTCTCTCAATGATGATGATAAGATGATGATAATGATGATGATGATGATGATGATGATGATGATATGATGATGATGATGATGATGATGATTGGTGTGTGTGTGTGTGTGGATGAATGGTGCGTGTGTGTTCATATGCGATGTAAAAATGCTTGAAAAATAAAAGGTTATACAAATAAAAAAAACAAATAAAACATTTTTCAACCTAATAACTAAATGTTTATGTATCTCGAGTTAGTTTATTTTCAAATTTTGTAAAGATACGAGGTTTGACGAGTGTCGTTTACAGTTTGAAGATCAACTAACGAGATAAGACACCATTATAATCAACAATCCCGAGTTTGGGAACACTTTCTTCAACAACGTTAGGATATTTCATCTAGAAAACAATATGATTCTCTTCGGAATACATTATTCCTGTTTCCGATCGGAGAAAAAATTGCCATAAAATCTGACTTCACAATGGAAGATGATGTCGCAGAGCATTGTTACTTGATGTCATAATTAGAAAATTGACCAATGAAATAACGCCCAGTTGTGTTTCCCTATACATCTAAATCCTATACATTTATTACAGGGCCTACAAAAAGACATGAGGTCCCACCAAAGTACCTGATACCAGTCTTTGACATTTTCTGTTGTTGTCTACCACAGAAAATCAGAACATTTCTTCATTGTAACATAGATCACACACGTATTCATGAAAATGTAAGTCGTTACTTTTTTTTAGTATTCCAAGGTTATTTGTCTGCAATTTGATTTATTGATAAAATTCATTGAAACATGCCTTAACGTCTACTTGTATATAACGACCCCTTGTATATAGACACCATCTTGTAACTGTATAGTTTGAATACTGACCAGACTCTGTTATTTATTGTTTTTCAGGAACAAATCCACGAAGAACAGATAAATACGTCTGTAACTGACCCAAACGTTTATCTATCACGCGGCAGCAAAGAGGATCAACCTACAGTACCGATAGACAAAACAGGTGTCAATCATACTTTTCAAAATGATACTGGAGCCTATCAACGATACAAGAGTCCTGATGACATTGATGAGGATACGAAAATGTGATCAAAACCAACATGGCCGTTCGACATTTACTGCAGTACCTATGTTACTTCTATGCTGTCTGCAATGAAGAAATACAGAATTTTTAATTTCCAACCTGACTATTGAGAGAAAGAAGCTTTTAACACGGGACTGAAAACGGTTAACATACGTTTTTGTGGGCGAATATGTCAGTTCCGAGACACAACAGTTACAGTTTAAAAGTTTTTTTCCAGAGTTCTGCATTCTTTATTCCACTCGAATATGATATGAGAAAGTGACTCTATTTCTTCATAAAACGATGTACATTATTTGTAAAGACCTGTCGCTCTAGTGTGTTTGCTTGTTTTGTTACATATTTTCCTGCGAAAGAACATTTTACTTTTATAGATATTAAGCTTTTTTTTGTAATCAGACCATGTTCCCATATATGTTGTCAAGTTACATTGCAACTCTATTCCTCTCTCTTTTGAAAAGGTTTTCAAGATTAACCGAATTATCCCATGTATAAACATCTGGTTATGTGTTTTGTGATTGATTATAAGTATTTTATACTGTATATTATGTTACTGTAGAAAATTAGTTATTGTACGATGCATCCCAAAGGGCCATTCAAAGAAAAGCAAGAACAAGTAGTGTTCTATTTTTTTTAACTATGCCACCATTTACCTTCATTCCCCTGTTTAACTCTATTCGATAAGAATAGTTTTACTTTTTTTATATCTTTAGTAGTGAATATTCATATTTTCTATATATGTATCATCTCTTACGCTAAGTCTTTATAATGCTTTAAATACATCAGTCTAATAAAACACAGTTATTTACAAAACTATTAAGATACTAACCAAACCACAATTAGCTGAGATATGGAAATTAACCCGAGCTCAATATTCATTTTCTCTCTAACCAAGAAGTCCTACATTGTAATCACAATCATTTTTTAAGAGATTCAAATAAAGAAATTAAACTTACCATTTTAGCAATCAATCTGAATATTTCTGATAAATCACGTACATTTCGCTTTTACTATTCCGTTGGAAACCTAAATGATTGACTTCAGCTGTTTTATAAAACTTTCTTATAAAGATTGAATGGATTTTTTGGTTCATGTACATTGCGGCAATGAATAGCAGTAGCAGATCTACATATCCTGTGGAGCGCGTTAATTCATATATTTACGTTACGGTGAACTACAATAAAAAAGTTACAACACATTTTGTAAAATCATTTTTGATATTAGTATCGGACAACAAAACCAAAAAGAAAAGGAACAGCAAGAACTCCAGACAACACACATACTTTGAAACGTTCAACTTCCGCCGATCAGCTGATTTTGTTGAAACGAAATATATATATATATATGGATATATATATATGGAAACTAATAATAACCAACACTTGATATTCCTTTCATTTGTGAAAGTTGATCTTATTTGATGTTTTTTTGCATTAAACACCGCGTATTATATATTTTTTAAAGTTTATGTCCGCACTATTTCAAAACATCGGTCACCATAGAAACCATCCAGGACACCCGTCGGTAGTAAAGGCATAAAGCTCATTTGCAGATAAATGTACAGCCGTTAAAAATGTTTTTGTCAAAAAAAACTACAGATGTAATTGATGATCAATTGATGGACGAAGTGCCCTGTGCCATTACAAAGTTCTCTGGGTTTAATGTGCAAGTTGATGTCACGGGGTTTACCCAGCCGGACGTTTGGGTGTTAGAAAGTTTTGACCACGAGGAACCGATTTGCGAGTCGAGAGTCAGTATTTAATTTGACAATGTTATAAAAAAAAAAAAAAAAGGCATGTTTTTACACTTACCTTGATATTTAAGATATTTAAGCAAAAATTAATTTTGTCAAAAATCATTCCAGGAGTTTTACATAGGTCCACGTAAAGTTAAATTCCAAGAAATGTTAATTTAACATCTATGGTTCATATAAGATTCATAAGAAATACATCATTACTACATGGTTTTACTTACACCTTTACCTGAAGTCCAGATTCTTTTTTACGTCTTCAAATGCTTCCTTCAATGTTTTTATTCTACATTATCTAACTAAAACTAAAAATGTACCATCTACGTATTGAGAATTAAAACCTGACACTTTTCAATATTATACCAGTAAGATTTTATTATTTGTAAAACAAATTGCCAATATCTTTGCACAACGTATACAAAACATATGGTGCAATTGGATCGCCTTGGCAACATTCACGTTTGTTTCTTTATTAAAAAAAAGATGAGAAGGTTCGAATACTAATTTTAACTTCCTTTTTAACATCATTCATCAATTCAAAATATTTCAGGAACCTATCTGTTAATTTTTCAAGAGACAGGATCAATTGATTTTCAAAATCCATTATAAATAACATTCAAGGGGAAAATAAATCTCGTCATGTGCAAAATTAACGTCAAAATAAATCTGATCTAATCGGAATAAGAGATTAGCAAGCAATACATAGCTGACAAACTATTTTTTGTAATACAAAATTTATAGAACTACAACAGCAAAGTTGTGGTGGTAAATGCAGAATTAGGGACCAAGCATGTTTAATAAAATTTCCTGTTAGATTGTTAGAGTGATCTGATTTGGGAAGCCATTTGCTTGAGTAGTCATCTTGCTGTAACGAAACCATGTTCCAAATAAAGATCCTAACTACATTGATATTCTGTTACTTTAAAAGTGACCTGGTTGTTTCCAATTACATTATAAATAATTCTGACGTGAATCCATCAAAGCCTGAACTAGTATAATTGTTCATTATGAAGGGTACCAGATGCCTCTTTAAATGTTATCAATCACTCAATATAGATACATCAAAATCACATACGAGTTCTGCTAAATCACCGATTTCATGATCTCTAGCATAACAAACTATTCATGGTTATGAGATGATAACTCCAGTTGAGCACGTGTTAATCAACCCTTTCACCCGTAAGTAACGTTAGTAGACTTTTCCGTACATAGATCTGAATGAGACCATTATGGTCTACAGAGGTGAAAGGGTGAAGTATGTGCCAGTGGTCGTCATATTCGTGAAAATTCATGAATACACGTGTAAGTAACTACCTCAGTTTATACTTTTTAATGTAGGTAACATCCAAATTAATTCAATATTTCTTCACTAAATTTATCGCTGTACGCAGACACTTAATAGATTGAAGGGCCTTGTCAGTTTGAGCTTTGTCAGAAATCTGAATATGGTAATTTCATATCGATTAGCTGGTCCATAAGTGCAGTTTTGGCCGCCTTATCAACTCGTTTATTTCCACCGATTCCAATATTATCTGACATCCAGGAAAGGATATAACACGACATATTCTATAAAGGAAGTTAAATCTAAATACATTTTTATTATTCTTTATAAGTTTAAGATTTTGAAGAACCGAAATGAATAAGAGCATACGATAGCGGGTTAACTTCCTTATACAAATAATAGTTAAAGCAAGCTCAACGGCCTTTCTCTCGGATGTGCAAATTGTTCATGTAAATACATATGTATAGCATAACCAACATTAAACACGTATACTATCGCTAAAGAGAAGTGCCACACGTGAACAAGGATAATGCATAGGTCCGGTTAAAGGGGGGGAGGGGGGGGGGGTAAGTATTGAAAATATAGCGCATGTACAAATACAATATTTCATGATTACATGTATATCGGATTGTGGCTGGGATGAAGTAGCATGTTGTGTTATATAACAGGTAAAGATCGAGGTCAGACATTACTTGACAGACCATTTCGGTGACTAAGTTCCTATGATATATATTGACTTGAGCAAGTCTGCAGACTCAAGTCAATAGCCAACACATAGGCTAAGAGACCGTCCAACATGGAGCTTGTTGAGGACAAACAAAAAAGTTGACCTCTTTTTAAATAAAATGGATTACGCAACATTTCAGAATATTGATAAATAAAGCTATATGCTCTTATATAGTTCAAACTGTGTAATTGGAATTCCATTCAACTTACGGCTAGAAGCTTACCTGATCATATTGTAATCGCGTGGCGATACAATGGTGTCCGACTCGTGCCCCTATAATCCCGGTAATACACGGTCCCGAGATAACTTACACACGGATCATTATGCGTTATCCGATTTAACTAGATTTTAAAAATTAAACACCACCCGCACTGGGCGTTCATTGAGTAGGCTCTGACCGTTACGGGAAGTGTTATATAGTGTGTTATATACTATATAACACTAAAATCAGACACTGAAAAGTTATTCTTACGCGAAACCTTTCATAATACTTAAATCGGATTAAAATATTTTTTTTCCACTTCACTTCGCGTGGTTGAAGTGAACAGAGATAAAGCTCGTCCATTTTCCGCACTGGACGTCGGTACAGCACCTAGCCACCGCACACAGAAACTGTCGACGTCGCCGATGCATAGTTCATTTTTAACGAGGAATTTAATTTAACGGAAATTACGTCACGTAGTATGACACTGTACCTCATAAATATCGCTGACTGTCCTGGAGAATGTGTCGGTTGGTAACATGTCTACGTGGTACGAAGTCACAGTGTCCTTGACAATTTAGCACCTCTATCACATGAGAACAAAAAGGTTTGTTTTTCCTGTTACACGCGCGTGTAAAATAATCTGCACAGTATCACATGATGTGTTATTCTACTCGGCCATACAGACCCGTCTAAACCTGTTTTATCTTCATTCTATTTCCTCTCGTGATGTTTTGAACATAATTCGTGTACGGTAATGCATAATTAAAATGTTTCTATCACGTTGGATATAAAGTTGCAGGGAGCGGATGGAAATCTGCAAGGTCAAAAAGGTTGTGCCACGCAACACATGTCACCAACGTTAACAAAACTTTAACGGACGTGCGTATGTGAAATGTTTCGACAAATGTGACATAAATGAAGATTGACATATTTCACTACACAGAAAGAGTTTCTGTATAAGTTCACGAAGCTGTTTCAATATATATCGCTAAGCTGTGGGCGTACCGATAAGATAGACCGACGTTACATTAATATTATTGATATGTGCTAACATCAAGTAAATGCCATATGTTAATATATAGCGTCGGATGGAGTACACAACTTACCTTCGTTATTGTAATGCATTTGTATTCGGACAAGCGTCGAAGATCTAGGAAATGTATCCGATGACGTCATGAAATGCTATACTATGCCTCGTTTCGAAACGATCCACTAGAAGAAGAGCATCAACATCAACAGCAGCAACAATAACAAAACAACAACATCTTTCTGTCAGGTCGGTTATTGGGACTACTCACTTGAGCAAAAATAGCAATGACTGCCTTGTTACATTACGAGACAACCGATCAGAAAAAAATAATAATGTTTGCCATGTTTATTTTTGTAAAGACCCACTAAAACATCATACATGTCAATTCAAGTTGCGAGACTACCTACTAGGATAAAAGCATCATGCCTTCAAGTTTTGAGACAGTTTTGCGACAACTTGATGATGACGCGCGGCGGGAACGAGATCTGCAGCTGAGGGCAAAACAACAGCAGCGGAAGTCATCTACAGTTGCGCACGCACTGGCTTTTTCACTAGGCATGTTTGGGGCCCACCATTTCTACCTGCGACGACCGTTTTTCGGCGTGTCGTACTTTCTGACCCTCGGGCTATTTGGCGTAGGTTACATTGTCGACTTGTTCCGAATCGGTTCGCTCGTCGATGAAGCTAACGAGGATTCGGACGTTGACTTGGAAAGCAAGACGAACATTGACGCCTACGTGTTGTGGTTTCCGTGTGGGATTCTGGGTAAGTATTTCAAAATAGACTGATCCATTGATTTAAACATATTTTAATTTGCATATTAGGATTGGGCACAAGTTGTCCTGTCGAGACAGCTTGGTATTATTTTGATATTAATCATACTTCAAAGACTTGAAAGGTTAATTTTATACGACTCCTTCATTTTTTATTATTATATGTTTATTTTATTTTGCTTGGTGTTTGGTTTAAACGTTACCACAAAATATGTTTGTGACCATGTTCCATGATTACGGACAGCATTACAAATCATAGTACATTGATTAACTTATTAAAGTTAGCGATTCTTTTTATTTTATTAAATAGCATGCCCGACGATTATGTCCCTTTTACCTTCAGTAGGTATAATCATACAAATATACTAGTAGAGAACAAATGTTCGAGATTTCAAGCCATTAAACATTTAGAGTATATCCTTTAACTGAAGTATTTCGTTACATCAGACTATTCTGCTAAAACCTAACGCGGACCCGGTGACAATTCGTTAAAATGAGAAATTGATATTCTTCTGTGAACTAAATATTAGTTAAGGTCAGATTGTCTAAGAATGTAATAGTCTTCATCTTCTAAACCAAAATATACTAGAACCAAACACTTTTCATTAATAGACCCGTCCTAAGGTGCTATGTCAACTAAAGAGATTTCATCCCTTCAGTGCCTTGGACTATTATACTAAACAGCTGTGTGAAGACTTTGTATTGTGTACCACGTCCAGTGTTTTCTCCTGCTATTGATCTCTACACTCTGCACAACTAGTGATGGTTTTCTTCTGTTTCAGGTTTTCACCAGTTTTACCTCGGTAACTACTGCCTCGGTTTCGTTTATCTGTGCACATTTGGAGTATACGGTTTCGGATGGATTATTGATTTCTTCAGAATTCCCTCCCTTGTTTCTATTTATAACTCACCTTTGGAGGATGTTCCGAAAAAGAAAAGTAAGACTACAGCGTATATGTTTGCATTATCTCCCTTCGGAATTCTCGGCCTTCATCATTATTACCTTAATAGATGGAAGTGGGGGGTTCTGTACACGTTGACCTGTGGTGTATTCGGTGTGGGATGGCTGGTAGATTTCTTCCGAGTTCCTCATCTAATAGCGCGGGAAAACAAGCACCTCCGCGGGGAGGGTCTGGGATTGGTACACACTGACGATGTCTACTTGTTGTGGTTTTCGTTTGGGTTGTTCGGCGCTCATCATTACTACCTTGGTAGAAAGGGCTGGGCCCTGCTTTACATGTGCACGTTTGGATTTTTTACAATTGGTTGGTTATTGGACATATGCCGCATTCCGTGCCTCGTTTTGACCCAAAACAACCACGCCGTAATTGATGATATTGACGACACGAAATACGCCAGCAGTGTGGAGTTTGTGTCTACTATATACGACAAGACAGTTGAAATGGAGTGTATCCCGGAGAGAAAAGTCGTCCAAGAAAGGACTCTCGACCTGGATCATTTTGCCATCAAGAATAAAACACCTGTACAACAAATCTCACCGCCAAAGCAGTACGAAAATTCCTTCTTCCAACCGCTGGAATCCCCGATACACAGACGTTCGCTATCGTCTTCCAATTTGGCGGGGAAACTCGGACCAAAACGAGCACCGTCGGTGCGAACGACTAAAACTCAAGTGCAATCACTCCCTCCGTCACCACGTAAGGCCTGTGACCACGACAGCTCAGATGATGACGACGTCATCATCACAAAGGTGATAACAACTCCAAGGGGAAATGGTTTACCACCTATATCAAGAAATGGCGGCAAACCAGTATTACAAACTACAGCGTATGACGAAACAATTGATGACCAGACGGTGAACACACCACGTTATGATGACGTAGAGCGCAAAGACAAAAATGTGACGCAACAAAATGAGGACAAATTGCTTCAAAACAAAGTAACACATTTTTGTATTGACGATTCAACAATGTCAAATAAAATGACAAACTGTCGCGAGAATTCACGTAGTGATGACGTTGTTGTGAAGAAGATTGTAATAACACCACGTTCAAACGACACCGTAACCGCCAAGAAAGTAAAAAGCCCCCGTTATAATGACGTAGGCATCACGTCTATCGGAGGTCGCCCTCGATCTGATGATGAAGACCTCACACACAGGGGACGAGGACCCGTATGGGACGGACGAGGTGATGACATCACAGGTATGATGTAGGGATATTGTTGTAGAGATAAAATAGGTAACTATTTAAGCGACATGTGTTGTCTGAAAGACTTTCACAACTAAATTATTTATTTTATGATATTACAAATGTACTAAGCTTTTGAGCTAATAGCCTTAATATTTGAAGTTCAACACTAATGACAACTGTCTATATTCACAAATAAATACATGACAAAGACTTCAAAGGGCAGTTTGGCGAGGATAATGGCATATGAGAGCGCAACAGGCGTCTGCTTTTGACAACCGGAAGTTTACAGGCCAAACCGGGACGGAAACACCCCACATTTGACCCCATATCAATCCGCCATCACATATTAAAATCTATCAAAACTATACATTTTCCTACTGTTCAATATCTGTATATTTCATTCGATGTCAAATATGTCAACAATCACCTATTTAAATTACTCCGAGGCACTGTATTTAACCGGAACAAATTTTTAGATAGGGATTATAATCGTATAAAACACTTGCTGATTGGCTGCTTTAGTTGTGTGAGTCATTAAGGGATATCCGACCCTCTTGCAATTGCGCCAAGCTAATATCGTATTCGATTGAGTTGCTCCATAACATCACCTGCGTCACAAGGAACATTCAATCTGACATTACAATACACAGAAGTAATAGAAATAGTCATTTATTATCAATAAAGGAAACTATATACCGCTATTTTGAACACTGTTATAATATACATTTGTGAACCAAATCTGTAAACACGTTCCGGGATCCGTTCTCTTCGGAAGTATGCCTGGTAGATAGAAATCAGAAATGCTGTAATCTATATCCTGAATCCCAACATTTTTACTGTTACTATTACCGTTACTTACTACACGAACGACACATTTTAAAACCACGTAAACCTATAAAGAGTCGTATCTACTCATCCATTACTGTATGCAGTGATGTTACGCTTGATCGATCATAGTCACACTGAGGGGTCAAGGCCGAATGCTAGTTTCGCCCACCTCTGACCTGATTACCCCGGCTCAGATGGCACGAGGACACTGTAGGTGCGCGATGGATGACATGTGATATAGTCCCAATGTTTTGATTGGTTCATTACTACAAGGAAAAAGCAAATAGTCCTAGAAACTATTGCCCGGTAAAATGAGCTTTACCCCGGGATATATCACTTATCCGTTTATTAAGGACAGTAGCATTAGTTTTCGTATCATTTTATATGGAGACAAACACGCCAGGGTATGGCTGATAAGTGTCGTAAGCCATTTGTGATGGTGACCACACTTAAAAGTACTCTAAACTGTTCGGACCTAAAACATTCCACACTTACTCTTACTGGCTACATGATATACAAATATCAGACGGCTTTGAGGGTTACAATATCTTGAGCTTTAAAAACTATGGTCATGTTTTAAGCAGTGAATTGTAGAGAACTACAATTTAACAGGAAGTCTTGGTTTGTAGATGAACAAAAATAACATGTATAAAATGATAGGATATTCCGTTCATAATGTCGAAAAAAGAAACTAAAATACGAGGGGCAGATTTCATCCTCTACATAACTTTAGTCTGATAAACAATCGGCTGTTGAATCTAACACTTATGACGCCCGAAGCAACTCCCTCTTTCTGACTTTTCGGTTTAACTTGATATAGACTATGAGAAAAAAATACACATAAAGTAGCCTGGCATGAGAACATTTATGTTGTAATCAATGTAATTTGAATAAATGCTATAGTTCTATTATGCCATCTCTTTATTTGTCTATTTATTTTATCATTTATTAATTTATCTTTACTTTACAGAGACATGCGAAGGACTGTCACCAAGGGAGGTAACCCAGTGGATGAGTTGGCGGGAGGATGACATCATATTGTAAAACTGAAATCAACATTGTATCAACCAGTGAATATTGATTATAACGATCTTGTTTCATCATTTAAACATTTCGCAGAGATACAGCTCACTAAGACCATAGTTATAACGCTATTATTGTGTCATCAACTGGAAGCGGAAGCGGAAACGGAAATATTCTAAGCGCATGTCAAACATGAAGCTTCCAATACCGCTTAGGTACCAAAGTTATTTCAATGTTGATACTGACATACACGGACAGATGATGTAACGAAAACTGGACAGGTGTTTTTTTCCAAATTCGCTATCATGCTTATGTTTTGTAGTTTGCAATCTAACAGCTGACGTCACTCCGCAAGCATTAAATTTCATCTACAGGCTAGAAAACTGGTGTGAAGCTCATCATTCATGAGATAAAATTTAACTGTGACGTCACTGATATTATTGCTAGCAAAGAGTTTTTAGAAATTATATGTTTACCACGACTGGACTCTGATAGATGTTTGAGAGTATACAGTCGCATCTTCTCGAAAGACCAATAAACAAACCTCTTTCTCAGGAGTACATCCCTTTCTCGGCACCACAAAGCAGTACATTGATACACTATCAAAAAAAACTTAAAGGTGAACAACCACCAAATGCTAAAACACATCAAATTTAGTGTCAAAATATTAATAAAACATATTATAATAAGTTGTCATGCTATTTTTTCAAAAAAAGTCCGTATTTGTGCATAATTTATTATTTGAAAACGGAAGGGATATTTAATGAATAATGCCCCCAAAAAATGCAAAATATGTGAAAATGAAATTGGGTTGTTATCACCTTTAAGCAATTCGCCGCGCGTTCTCTTATTACAGTTTGTTGATGGTTTGGCCGTGACTGTGATTTAGTCAATAATTAGGTTGTGACGTACATGTAGTAGTTTTTTCAACCTGGCTTAGTTTTCTTTGGGAGAAATACGGTACAACAACAATTCTTGTACATCATTGCTAGTGCTATTTAACATGTCTATCAACCAAAGTAATGATTTTGCTTAATTCATACTTCGCCGTATGCTAGGAAATCTAATAGATATGTAAAAGCATACATTAATATAAATACAATTTTGTAAAATGTAGAATAGGATGTCCATGTCCGGGTTGAATTAGAAAATCTGTTAATCCGAAAGTGGTCCTGTACAGGCTTTATTAGAAAATCTGTTAATCTGGAAGTGGTCCCGTACAGGCTTTATTAGAAAATCTGTTAATCCGGAAGTGGTCTCGCACAAGCTTTATTAGAAAATTGTTAATCCGAAAGTGGTCCCGTACAGGCTTTATTAGAAAATCTGTTAATCCGAAAGTGGTCCCGTACAGGCTTTATTAGAAAATTGTTAATCCGAAAGTGGTCCCGCACAGGCTTTATTAGAAAATCTGTTAATCCAGAAGTGGTCCCGTACAGGCTTTATTAGAAAATCTGTTAATCCGAAAGTGGTCCCGTACAGGCTTTATTAGAAAATCTGTTTATCCGGAAGTGGTCCCGTACAAGCTTTATTAGAAAATTGTTAATCCGGAAGTGGTCCCGCACAGGCTTTATTAGAAAATTGTTAATCCGAAAGTGGTCCCGTACAGGCTTTAATAGAAAATCTGTTAATCCGGAAGTGGTCCCGTACAAGCTTTATTAGAAAATTGTTAATCCGGAAGTGGTCCCGTACAAGCTTTCTTATAAAATCAGCATTCCGGAAGTGGTCCCGTACAAGCTTTATTAGAAAATCTGTTAATCCGGAAGTGGTCCCGCACAGGCTTTAATAGAAAATCTGTTAATCCGGAAGTGGTCCCGTACAGGCTTTATTAGAAAATCTGTTAATCCGGAGGTGGTCCCGTACAGGCTTTATTAGAAAATCTGTTAATCCGGAAGTGGTCACACACAGGCTTTATTAGAAAATCTGTTAATCTGGAAGTGGTCCTGTACAGACTTTATTAGAAAATCAGTTAATCCGTAAGTGGCCCCATCCAGGCTTAATTAGACTTTCTATAAATCTTAGAGCAGCGCTGTCCAGACTTGGTTAGACTTTCTATAAATCTTGGAGCAGCGCGTCAGACTCAAATAGACTACTATAAATCTTGGAGCAGCGCTGTTCAGACTTTAAGTAGGTGGATTTAAATGTGACCCCGTCCATGTCTTAACGTATGTGCTATAGCTGTAATAAATGCAAATAATAACTAATACTCTGTATAGTATTGAGATAATAATTTAATTGATATATTACAGATGGTGTCTGGAATTCATTTACAGATACATAAATCCCTATAACAAGATAATCGTTGTTAAAATGAATTGTTTTAAATTAATTGCGTCACCTCGAAGGAATACGCAGGAATTACATTTGCGTCAAATCTGCATTGTGACAAGAGCATCAAAACGTCCTGTGCCAAAGGAAGGCTTTTACTGAATTCACTTATAAGAGTTGGTATTCACAGTGGAGAAATTCATCCACTTACAAGTTGCAAGCTGATAGAAACTATAGTGCTGTCGCGCATTCTCTATGGATCAGAACTTTGGGCTAATCCAACACAACAATCACGCCAAGACCTCGACCTTGTTTAGCGATATGCCGCACGGAGGTGCCAAGGCTTCGAGAAGACATCACCGACACTCGTTACAACACGAGCAATAGGATTATTGGAGATATACGGTGATGTTGACCGAAGAAAACTCATGTTCTGGAACACGCTCTGTTCGGCGAGTAATAAGTATGTATGTAAAATTCTCTTTACGATTCGGTTGTGCACTTTCGTATTCGGTGACATATTCATCAAAGCAGAAAGTTTTATTCATGACATATTCACAACTGCGGTAAAACTCGAGATTTCAACTATGTTGCTGGACTATGTGTTTGACGGTTTTTGTCCAGCGCGTACATCGTGGAGGAACTTCTGTAGAAGGACTGTCTAAGAATTTTACTATAAAAGGTGGAATGACGCGATGGTTTGCTCAGAAATATTACAAACGTATCATTCTATTCATACTGTGCAAGGTCCTAATCCATTGTGGTTGATAAGCCTGGATTTCCCTAAATATACGTGGAAACTTGGAGAACTAATAAAATTGTCCTATCGGTACGAAAGAGATAATGTTGTATGTAGAAAATGTCAAAAACAGTCTGAAAATATTTAAGTCAATATCTTAGACGTATCAGATTATGTTAAATTTGATCACCTGTCAGATGAAAGACAGTGTCAATTTATACTCGGAAGTTCAAACGATATTCAACTGAATCGTGACAAGTGGGCCCTACTGATGATGAATATTGCCGATCTGATACCTATAATGATCTCAGAGATGAACACTTTACTATGATTATGTATACAATGTATATTCTACATTTGATGTAAGCACAAGATAAGGCATGATTCATGTACAATCTCTACAAGGAGGAAATAAAGAAAACCGTCTGTCTGTCTGTCTGTCTGTCTGTCTGTCTGTCACGCAATGAGCCAATGATAAATAAGTTAACCCATGAAAGTCCAAACTGTCACGTGGTGAGCCAATGATAATAAGTTAACCCGTGAAAGTCCTAAACTGTCACGTGCTGAGCCAATGATAATAGGTTAACCCGTGAAAGTCCTAAACTGTCACGTGGTGAGCCAATGCTAATAAGTTAACCCGTGCAAGTACTAAAATGTCACGCGCTGAGCCAATGATAATAAGTTAACCCGTGAAAGTCCTAAACTGTCACGTGGTGAGCCAATGATAATAAGTTAACCCGTGAAAGTCATAAACTGTCACGCCCTGAGCCAATGATAATAAGTTAACCCGTGAAAGTACTAAACTGTCACGTGCTGAGCCAATAATAATAAGTTAACCCGTGAACGTACTAAACTGTCACGTGGTGAGTCAATGCTAATAAGTTAACCCGTGCAAGTCCTAAACTGTCCCGTGCTGAGCCAATGATAATAAGTTAACCCGTGAAAGTCATAAACTGTCACGTGGAGAGCCAATGCTAATAAGTTGATCCGTGAAAGTCCTAAACTGTCACGCGCTGAGCCAATGATAATAAGTTAACCCGTGAAAGTCATAAACTGTCCCGGGGAGAGCCAATGCTAATAAGTTGATCCGTGAAAGTCCTAAACTGTCACGCGCTGAGCCAATGATAATAAGTTATCCCGTGAACGTACTAAACTGTCACGTGGTGAGCCAATGATAATAAGTTACCCCGTGAAAGTAGTAAAATGTCACGCGCTGAGCCAATGATAATAAGTTAACCCGTGAAAGTCCAAACTGTCACGTGGTGAGCCAATGATAATAAGTTAACCCGTGCAAGTACTAAAATGTCACGTGGTGAGCCAATGATAATAAGTTAACCCGTGAAAGTACTAAAATGTCACGCGCTGAGCCAATGATAATAAGTTAACCCGTGAACGTACTAAACTGTCACGTGGTGAGCCAATGATAATAAGTTAACCCGTGAAAGTCCTAAACTGTCACGTGCTGAACCAATGATAATTAGTTAACCCGTGAAAGTCCTAGACTGTCACGTACTGAGCCAATGATAATAAGTTTACCCGTGAACGTACTAAACTGTCACGTGGTGAGTTAATGATAATAAGTTAACCCGAGAAAGTTTTAAACTGTCACGTGCTGAGCCAATGATAATAAGTTAACCCGTGCAAGTCCTAAACTGTCACGTGCTGAGCCAATGAAGTTTAAGTTAACCCGTGAAAGTCCTAAACTGTCCCGTGCTGCGCCAATGATAATAGGTTAACCCGTGAAAGTACTAAAATGTCACGCGCTGAGCCAATGATAATAAGTTAACCCGTGAAAGTCCTAAACTGTCACGTGCTGAGCCAATGAAGTTTAAGTTAACCCGTGAAAGTCCTAAACTGTCACGTGCTGAGCCAATGATAATAAGTTAATCCGTGAAAGTCCTAAACTGTAACGTGCTGAGCCAATGATAATAGGTTTACCCATGAAAGTCCTAAACTGTGACGTGCTGAGCCAATGATAATAAGTTAACCCGTGAAAGTCCTAAACTGTCACGTGCTGAGCCAATGATAATAAGTTAAAAAAACTGCGGAAGTCCTCAACTGTCAGGCACTGAACAAATGATAATAAGTTAAATCCCGTAAAAGCTTTTGCTAGGCAATGAGCTATGGATAAAAAGTTTGAACTCTTGTCAGGCGCCGATCACACAAACTGGTCCTCCTTGTCGTCAGTGCAAAGTAGAAGACTCACGCTTTCGTTTTCTCCGTTGACTTTCATAGGTTTTCTCCACTTCTGGAAGTATTGAATACAGGCAAGCCTCGATTTCGGGGTGTAAATGAAGTATAGAACAACATACAAAATGGCGACGATTGCAAAGTCAACGATAAGATGGCATCCGAAGGCAACGGGAATGAAGTGGGCATTACGCATGTCTGACAGGTCCCACTCCGGGTTCTTCTCACCACCTACAACAAGAAATGTCAATAATTGAAAAGATCATGTTTGTATTGACTAAATTGGCTACGCATGTTATGAAAGAACTTTTGGTTTAAATATTACGCGCTGTTTGTTCGTGCTCGGCAATTATCCGAGTATGTGGTATAATCTTAATTTTATCAACATTATGCAGTGTTTGGGTTATACATTATAACCTCAAAAATAACAATATGCTCCATCGTATTCATGAAAC